CCCTCCCTGTAGTGTTCTGGGACACGTGACAGGTCCCAGAAGGCTACGGGGCCATTCACAAAGCACAGCACTTCTCTCGCATGTGCAGTGGGCACCCGGCTGTGAAGCCACAAGCTGTCACAGCCGGTCACCCACACTGAAGATGCCGGTGCTGGGGAGAGAAGATGGCCGGTGAAACCAGCCGCGGTGAGGACAACGCTGGATCGTGGACAGGTAGGTGTCTGTATTTTAAAGGTTAGCTACAGTTTTTGTAGCGGCTGACTTTTATTTTTTTTTTTAAATCAGCTGGAACTCAGCTTTAAGTTGGCCATATGCTATTAGAATTTCATTAGAAAGTCATTTAATTTTTCAGTTGTTAGGGTAAATCAATGTTGGCTTTCGAGCACATTGACAAGAAACTGCGAAGAAGCAGGATGGAAAATATTTATTGAACGAACAGTGAATGCGGTTTACATTCAGGAAAGTCCATTCACTCGAAAATCGAATGTTAGGTGTTAAAAGCAAACAAAACTTTGAAATATTTTCAAACATTTGTCAAGTCATCAAGTATGCTGAGAGTTTTTGTATGAATGTATAAAATGTACCAGTGCATGATCCGGTGTAGGATAAAAAAGTCAGTTGTGTTTTTCATGGGAATGTTCTGATTGCTCTCAGAGGAAGGAGTCCATCAATGTTCTCCATACAATTGAAGTGTTGACTCTACTAAACATAAAGTGGTTGTAAAGGCTGAAGGTTTTTTTTACCTTCATGCATTCTTTGCATGAAGGTAAAAAACCTTCTATGTGCTGCTACCCACCACAGCCCCCCTAATACTTACCTGAGCCCCTCCAAGCGATGTGCGCAAGAGCCTCGGCTGTCCCGGGACTCCTTCTCCTCATTGGCTGAGACAGCATTAGGAGCCAGTGGGACTAAGCTGCGGCCATATGTACACTATATTGCCAAAAGTATTGGGACACCCCTTCAAATCATTGGATTCAGATGTTCCAATCCCCTTCATGGCCACAGGTGTATAAAATCAATCACCTAGGCATGCAGACGGCTTCTACAAACATTGGTGAAAGAATGGGTCGCTCTCAGGAGCTCAGTGACTCCAAGCGTGGTCCCGTGATAGGTGGTCACCTGTGCAATAAGTCCATCCGTGACATTTCCTGGCTACTAAATATTCCACGCTCAACTGTTAGTGGGATTATAACAAAGTGGAAGCAACTGGGAACAACAGCAACTCAGCCACCAAGTGGTAGGCCACGTCACATGACAGGGCGGGGTCAGCGCATGCTGAAGCACACAGTGCGCAGAAGTCACCAACTGTCTGCAGAGTCAATAGCTAAAGACCTCCAAACTTGGTGTGGCCTTCAGATGAGAACAACAACAGTGCGTAGAGAACTTCATGGAATGGGTTTCCATGGCCGAGCAGCTGCATCCAAGCCTTACATCACCAAGTGCAATGCAAAGTGTCAGATGCCGTGGTGTAAAGCACACCGCCACTGGAATGACGAATCACGCTTCTTTGTATGACAATCCGATGGATGTGTCTGGGTTTGGCGGTGGCCAGGAGGACGGTACTTGCCTGACTATATTGTGCCAAGTGTAAAGTTTGGTGGAGGGGGGATTATGGTGTGGGATTGTTTTTCAGGGGTTGGGCTTGGCCCCCTAGTTCCAGTGAAGGGAACTCTTTAAGGCGTCACCATACCAAAATGTTTTGGACAATTTCATGCTCCCAACTTTGTGGGAAGAGTTTGGGGATGGCCCCTTCCTGTCCCAACATGACTGCGCACTAGTGCACAAAGCAAGGTCCATAAAGACATGGAGGAGGCAGTTTGGGGTGGAGGAACTTGACTGGCCTGCACAGAGTCCTGACCTCAACCCGATAGAACACCTTTGGGATGAATTAGAGCGGAGACTGCGAGCCAGGCCTCCTCCCCCAACATCAGTTCCTGACCTGACAAATGTGCTTCTGGAAGAATGGTCCAACCTTCCCATAGACACCCTCCTAAACCTTGTGGACGGCCTTCCCAGAAGAGTTGAAGCTGTTATAGCTGCAAAGGGCGGGGCCAACTCAATATTGAACCCTACGGTAAGACTGGGATGCCATTAAAGTTCATGTGCGTGGAAAGGCAGGTGGCCTGATACTTTTGGAAATATAGTGTATCTTATGGAAGCAAAGAGCTGGGTTCAAGAGCAAGCATGCACCAGTGCCCCCATAGCAAGTGGCTTGCTATTGGGGCACTGGTCAAGGGGTAGGAGCCAGGAGTGCCTGCAGGGAACCTGTGAAGAAAAGGATCAGGGCTGTTCTTTGTAAAACCATTACACAGTAGTAGGTAGGTAAATATGACATGTTTGTTATTTAAATTAAAAAAAAAAAAATCAGAAATGTTAATATGACTTTCAATAAGTTTGGGTTGGAGGTACAGGAGGATGACATCACTCTGTAGGGGCAGGAGGGAAAAAAAGGAAGGGGGTGATTTAATCTTTTAATGTGTTTTATTGCTTGTATCAATTTTTTAAATATAAAAACTATTTTCAGGATAACTTTTTAAACAAGGTGAAATGCATTATGTTACATTGCAGATGACCCACTTGTTTATAAAAAGTACCCCAATGTAATCCTTGCCATTCAGCCGTCATATTTTGAGCTTTGGATGCGCCCACACCCATTTCTATTATTCCAGTTATCTGCACCGTCCTGCCAGCACCCGCTTTCAGTATAAACTTGGAGTAGGAGAATTACAAGATTACCCCCGGGGATTTGTGGCTTTTCCAGTGATAAACATAGTCTGTGTTCCAGTGCTATTTCCATTAGTGATGCTATCAAGTTCACTGTTTTCCAGACTTTCCATTAACTCGCTATTTATACGCGGTCTGCCGAGTTCCGCAAAACTAGCAGGTACAGTTATTCATTTAAAAGGGCAGAGAAATTGAATTTGTATGTAAGATGGTAACAAATGATAGCCGCATTATGATTTTAGGAATACTTTCTGTAAGTCTTGCTGGGGCTGTGGAGGGAATACAGTAGACCTTGGATCCTGTCCTTTCATACACCACCTGCATTTAGAACCTCGGCGCTGCAGTGACCAATGCTCCTGAATTTTACAGGGTATATTTAAATTAATTTTTTAACGACAACATTCACTTTAACATACAGCTATGTTATCAGTCCTATCGGGACAGATACATTTAGAGTAATATTTACTTTAAGGTGTCATTAACCACGTCCCCTCCGCCCTATAGCAGAAATACTGCTACAGGGTGGCATGGGTGCGCAAAATCACGTACAGTGGGGATCGAAAGTTTGGGCACCCCAGCTAAAAATTTGTATAAATGTGCATAAAGAAGCCAAGGAAAGATGGAAAAATATCCAAAAGGCATCAAATTACAGATTAGACATTCTTATAATATGTCAACAAAAGTTAGATTTTATTTCCATCATTTACACTTTCAAAAAAACAGAAAACAAAAAAATGGTGTCTGCAAAAGTTTGTGCACCCTGCAGAAAATTTATAGCATGCACTGCCCCCTTTGCAAAGCTGAGACCTGCCAGTGTCATGGATTGTTCTCAATCATCGTCTGGGAAGACCAGGTGATGTCAATCTCAAAGGTTTTAAATGCCCAGACTCATCTGACCTTGTCCCAACAATCAGCACCATGGGTTCTTCTAAGCAGTTGTCTAGAAAACTGAAACTGAAAATAGTTGATGCGCACAAAGCTGGAGAAGGCTATAAGAAGATAGCAAAGTGTTTTCAGATGTCAATATCCTCTGTTCGGAATGTAATTAAGAAATGGCAGTCATCGGGAACAGTGGAAGTTAAAGCAAGATCTGGAAGACCAAGAAAAATATCAGACAGAACAGCTCGCAGGATTGTGAGAAAAACAATTCAAAACCCACGTTTGACTGCACGATCCCTCCAGAAAGATCTGGCAGACACTGGAGTTGTGGTACACTATTCCACTATAAAGAGATACTTGTACAAATATGGTCTTCATGGAAGAGTCATCAGAAGAAAACCTCTTCTACGTCCTCACCACAAAAATCATCGTTTGAACTTTGCAAATGAACATATAGACAAGTCTGATGCATTTTGGAAACAAGTTCTGTGGACCGATGAGGTTACAATTGAACTTTTTGGCCGGAATGAGCAAAGGTACGTTTGGAGAAGAAGGGGCACAGAATTTAATGAAAAGAACCTCTGTCCAACTGTTAAGCATGGGGTTGGATCAATCATGCTTTGGGGTTGTGTTGCAGCCAGTGGCACAGGGAACATCTCACGAGTAGAAGGAAAAATGGATTCAATAAAATTTCCGCAAATTTTGGATGGTAACTTGATGCCATCTGTGAAAAAGCTGAAGTTAAAGAGAGGATGGCTTCTACAAATGGATAATGATCCTAAACACACCTCGAAATCCACGAGGGATTACATCAAGAGGCGTAAACTGAAGGTTTTGCCATGGCCTTCACAATCTCCTGACCTCAACATAATTGAAAATCTATGGATAGACCTTAAAAGAGCAGTGCGTGACAGACAGCCCAGAAATCTCAAAGACTTTTGTAAGGAAGAATGGGCAAAGATACCTCAAACAAGAATTGAAAGACTCTTGGCTGGCCACAAAAAGCGTTTACAAGCTGTGATACTTGCCAAAGGGGGCAGTACAAGATATTAACTCTGCAGGGTGCCCAAACTTTTGCAGGCGCCATTTTTTTGTTTTCTGTTATTTTGAAAGTGTAAATGATGGAAATAAAATCTAACTTTTGTTGGCATATTATAAGAATGTCTAATCTGTAATTTGATGCCTTTTGGAGATTTTTCCATCTTTCCTTGGCTTCTTTATGCACATTAATACAATTTTTTAGCTGGGGTGCCCAAACTTTCGATCCCCACTGTATATATACGTGATTTCACTTTTCCAAATAGGGGGCGTTCGCCCTACCCACGCCGCCATTCACAGCCTCAGCTGTCAATCACCGGCACCCAGTGAACACCGAGTATCTCCTATGGGGTAGAGACCTGTATATAAACAACACAGATCTCTTCCCTGTCAGCTCCTGCATACTGCTTTGTACGGATCTGCATAGCAGAGCCGTACAAAGCAGTGTGCTTACAGTGGAAAGCACTTGCACACAGCATACTGTGAAACCGCAGACAGCTAACTCTTTGATTTCCCCAGATGTTAACCATTTCCTGCCCAGTGTCAGTACTTTTTGTTAGCACTGATCACTGTTTTGGTGTCACTGGGGATGTCAGTGACACCAAGTCAGTTCCCACCAGTGTCACAATGCCCGCCGCAGTCCTACTATAAGTTGCTGACCGTTGCCATTACTAGTAAAAAAAAAAAAAAATTCCAGTATATATACCCCCATTTGTAAACACTAGAACGTTCACAGAGACCAATTAATTTACACGTATTAGGAACTTTTTCGCAAAGACATGGAGCAGCATACATTTTGGCCTAAATTTATGATGAAATTGGATTTTTTTTTAAAAAAAATTTATTGGACATGTTTAATAGCAAAAAATCAAATACTTTGTCTTTATCTCAAAATTGTCATTTTTTGTTTATAGAGCAAAAAAAACGCACAGGCGATCAAATACCACCGAAAGAAAGCTCTATTTGTGGGGGAAAAGGAAGTAAATTTAATTTGGATGCAGTGTTGCATGACCGCGCAATTGTCAAAGTAACGCAGCTCCGTAACGCAAAAAATGGCCTGGTCAGGAAGGGGGGAATTCTCTGGAGGGCAAGTGGTTGAACCCACATCATTAAAAGCTATAATAAATGCTGGTCATGCTCACTAGGGGATTCGTTTTTTGTATTCTGCAAAACCTGATTGATTCTGCTGTTCTCTCTCCCCCCTATCCATGTCCCCAGTGTAGTTGGGGATTTTGCAGACAGTGTTGGAAGCTAGTGCGCATGCTCAGTTTTCAGTGTATTTTTTTACCCTCAGCATTTCCTCCCTATTACGTCAGAGCAGCCCGTGTGACCATAGTCACATATGTCATATATGGCCACTAACCAGCTAAACACAATGGGGGTGAAATATTACATGTAGATTGATGGAGGCTTCACCTCTCTCTTATTCTAAGATCCAGGCTGGAGGGGAGTGACACAGCCTATGACTGACAGAAATCCACCCACACCAATAAAGATTTGACTTCAGATGCAGTATCTCACTTCCCTCACATTTTTGTAAATATTTGATTCTATCTTTTCTTGTGACAACACTGAAGAAATGACACTTTGCTACAATGTGACGTAGTCAGTGTACAGCTTGTATAACATGGAAATTTGCTGTTCCCTCAAAATAACTCAACACACCGCCATTAATGTCTAAACCGCTGGCAACAAAAGTGAGTCCACCCCTAAGTGACAAGGTCCAAAATTGGGCCCAATGAGCCATTTTCCCTCCCCGGGTCATGTGACTCGTTAGTGTTACAAGGTCTCAGGTGTGAATGGGGAGCGGCTGTGTTACATTTGGTGTTATCGCTTTCACTCTCTCATACTGGTCACTGGAAGTTCGATATGACACCTCATGGCAAAGAACTCTGAGGATCTGAAAAAAAGAATTGTTGCTCTACATAAGGATGGCCTAGGCTATAAGAAGATTGCCAAGACCCTGAAACTGAGCTTCAGCACGGTGGCCAAGACCATACAGCGGTTTAGCAGGACAGGTTCCACTCAGAACAGGCCTCGTCATGGTCGACCAAGGAAGTTGAGTGCACGTGCTCAGCGTCATATCCAGAGGTTGTCTTTGGGAAATATACGTATGAGTGCTGCCACCATTACTGCAGAGGGTGAAGGGGTGGAGGGTCAGCCTGTCAGAGCTCAGACCATACACCGCACACTGCATCAAATTGGTCTGCATGGCTGTCGTCCCAGAAGGAAGCCTCTTCTAAAGATGATGCACAAGAAAGCCGCAAACAGTTTGCTGAAGACAAGCAGACTAAGGACATGGATTACTGGAACCATGGCCTGTGGTCTGATGACACCAAGATACACTTATTTGGTTCAGATGGTGTCAAGCGTGCGTGGCGGCAACCAGGTGAGGAGTACAAAGACAAGTGTGTCTTGCCTACAGTCAAGCATGGTGGTGGGAGTGCCATGGTCTGGGGCTGCATGAGTGCTGCCGGCACTGGGGGGCTACAGTTCATTGAGGGAACCATGAATGCCAACATGTACTGTGACATACTGAAGCAGAGCATGATCCCCTCCCTTCAGAGACTGGGCCGCAGGGCAGTATTCCAACATAACGACCCAAACACACCTCCAAGACCACCACTGCCTTGCTAAAGAAGCTGAGGGTAAAGGTGATGGACTGGCCAAGCGTGTCTCCAGACCTAAACCCTATTGAGCATCTGTGGGGGCATCCTCAAACAGAAGGTGGAGGAGCGCAAAGTCTCTAACATCCACCAGCTCCATGATGTCATGGGAGAGTGGAAGAGGACTCCACTGGCAATCTGTGAAGCTCTGGTGACCTCCATGTCCAAGAGGGTTAAGGCAGTGCTGGAAAATAATGATGGCCACACAAAATATTGACACTTTGGGCCCAATTTGGACCTTGTCACATAGGGGTGGACTCACTTTTGTTGCCAGCGGTTTAGACATTAATGGCGGTGTGTTGAGTTATTTTGAGGGGACAGCAAATTTACATGTTATACAAGCTGTACACTGACTACATCACATTGTAGCAAAGTGTCATTTCTTCAGTGTTGTCACATGGAAAGATAGAATCAAATATTTACAAAAATGTGAGGGGTGGACCTCTGGGAGATACTGTGTATGTATGTATATATGTGTGTGTATATATGTGTGTGTATATATGTATATATATATATATATATATATATATATATATATATATATATATATATATAAATAAAATATTTGTATGACAATTTAAAACAGTTATTTATTTTTACTGTGTGTCCCAAACATGTGACCAGCAGCAGATGATTAGAAGTTCCTCCTGCTTATGTTTCCCTGCAGACAGGCTGGGAAAGAGCTGAGTCATGTGACAGCTGTATATCAATCAGGAAAAAAGTACTTTTTTAAAAAAAAATAAAAAATGAAATAATTAAAGTGCCACAATTCACTTACATAAAGAGAAGGGATAGTGTAAATAGCGTGTTTTAATGTCACTCTAACTTAGGAAAATTTTCTTCACTACTGGCTAAATGTGTGAAGGCCTAGTGACTTGGTCATTTGATCACAGGATCTCTGCGAAGTTAAAACATCAAGGTTCAGACTGGTTGAACCTTTCCTTTAGCGGGGATAATATGAAGGGAAGCTATACAGTATATACATTTTTGAAGTGGTATAAGTAGCTCATAGACCTAGTCAACCTTTTTTTTTTTTTTTTTAATGTGAGGAGGTTAGGCTGGAGGTCTTCAATTACAACCTATAAAGGGCAGATTTATTCTTCTAGGTGAATTATTCATGTGTCGCAGGCAACACTGGAGTTAATGTAAGGAACTTGGAGCTTTCAGAATGGATCCCAACAGCTCCCCTCCTTCCTGGGGATTATTGATGACACAGTTTTAACATGTTAAAAAGGAATGAAAGACGACCTCCTTGAAGAGACCTAGCAGAGGACTCCAAGCTTGCTGGGAGTAAGATGGGAGCTGTGCCTGGAATATCAATGAGCGTATATCATCACTGGTCTTACCGAAGACTGAACCATGTGATCAGACAATCAAAGCTCCCCATATCCCGCCTGGGATCTTGTTCTGCCATCTCCCTAATATTATTCTGTGCTTTCTTAGTAATCAGTTTTTGAACCGCTGATACATCTGCACTGTTTAAATGCTTTATCTCAAATTTACCAAAAAAATTTTTTACTGTCTTTATTCTTGTCTTACATACAGGAAAACACTCTGGGTGTCAGTCATATACCCTGTCTTAAGTTCACAAGTTTACAGTCATTACCTGTTATTTTATAGATGTATGGTGTCTATAAAAAACAAACATACATACTCACCTGCATGCTGCAGCAGTGGTGCTGCAACTGTCCCCTGCTGACCCTAAGTCCGAGAACTGAGTGATCACATGATCACTCAGCTCTCAGTCTTCCCATAGTGGAGAGCAGTGACCCATGTTAATTTTGACATCAAATTTTGATTTAGTTTTAGTCAGTCTTTGACTTAAATGTTATTTTAGTTTTAGTTGTATTTTAGTCATCTGAATTTTTAGTTTTAGTTGACTAAAGTACATTTTAGCCAACTAACATCTAATGGGTTTAGTTAAACTGTAATGCATTATTTCTCTAGAATTTCTAAAACACTCCTGAAGTAAACTCTAAGGCCCCATGTACACGGGATTCTTCTGAATGATGGAAACTGACTGCTGGAAAACGTAGGTTAAAAAACGTCTGTTTCGCCGCGTTTGCATACCGCGTTTATGCGCATTTTAGTTTAGAAGCGTTTTTTAAAGATAAGCACAGGAGAACCTCCCAAATTCCCAGAATGCACTGAAAAGTGGTAAATTATTAACTATTTCAGATTGTTTCAGAGAAATACAGAGAGTAGAAGCAGGGACAGCAGTATGTGTTGAAATTTAGCTTAGGTGTGAGTTGCTCATTAACATTTCTTTTGTTTACAAGGGTGGGAAAGGTGTCTGGTGGATGGAGTCATTAAGGCCACCTAGCAGGGGGTCTTCATGAGGAATTTGAGCTGGGAATGGTCATTAACATATCTTTTGTTTCCAAGGGTGGGAGAGGTCTGAGGTGTGAATTGGTCATTACAATGTGTGGCAAGCTTGGTAGGAACATCCTGTGTTCAGTGTTTTGTCCATCTGAGTACCTCGAAACCGCTTTGCATGCATTTTTCATGATGAAAAAAGGCTCTGGACAGCATCGGGAACTGAAAGAGTTAAAAAAAAAAAATTTCCGGGGGAATTTTGTGTTTGAAACGCTGATAAAATCAACTGCTGAACGCAAATTTTCCGCAAACTACTGTAAACTCAAATGCCTGTAAATGACTATGTGTACATGGACACATAGGAAAACATTAGGGTGAGTTCAGGGGCTGCTGAAAAAACCGCTGAACAGCTCCTAAACGTGAGTTTATTAGCTGCAGTGTACATGAGCCCTAATAATATGTTATTTTTTATGGTATCATTAAGTTCTGAGCACACACACAGATTTAGCTATTGTGATTCAATTTAGTTTTAGTGATAGTTTTTTTTTTTTTTTTACTAA